AGACCTCATCTCTACAATTAAAAAAAAAAAAAAATTAGCCGGGCATGGTAGCACGCGCCTGTAATTCCGGCTACTCGGAAGGCTGAGGCGGAAGGATCGCTAGAGCCTAGCAGGTCGAGGCTGCAGTGGCCGGGAGCGGCCACTGCACTCCAGTCTGGGCAACAGTAAGACTCCAACTCAAAAAAATAATAATAATAATCTCCATGGAAGTCAGTGCTGCTTGAAGGACTTCCATCCTCCACCTCAGCGGAACTTGGGGTCAAGCCTCCAGCATGGGTTTCCGGGTGGGCCCCGACCCTGGCCAGCTGTCCTGACTTTGTTATTTCCTTCCCAAGACGCAGCCGTCTGATGAGGCCGCAGCCGCGGGGCCCCTGGGGAGCTCTGCAGTGACCAGTGACCCCAGGCAAGGCCTCTAGACCTGTGTGCACCCGTGTTCCTGTACCAAAGGCCTGCCGGGCTGGTGACGCCAGAAAAGGCCTGTGCCTTCCGCCCGCTCTTCCAAGAAGCCGGTTCCCTGAGCTCCTGAGCTGGCCGGGGTCTCGGGCTCCAGTCTTCCTTGGAGAACATTCCTTCCCTTCTGGGAAAGGAAAGTGGCTGCAGGGGAAATCTGTTCTCTGCCTTCCTGCTTCTGGAACCATCTCAGGTCCTGATGAGCCCTCTCAGCACAAGGGAGGGTCTGTGAACACAACCCTCCTGGTAAATCCGCCTCTGCCTCACACTCCTCAGGGGGTGAAGCTGCCTTAAGGCCTCATCAAAACAAAGCCACCTCCGAATTTATCCAGCTCGTCCGTCTGGCCCTGAAGATACTCTCTTCCTTATAGTGAGGCGTGCCTGTAGCACTGTGTGGTCCGCCTGTCCCCACAGAGGATGGCGCGTGTCTCCTTTCCCTGGTTCTGCCTTTGTTACTCCTTCATGCGTGTGTGTGTGTTTTTTTAATAAAATATTGATTTGGCCAGTTGCACGAGCATTTCTTATTAAACTAGAAGGCGTCTGTGAAACTAGGCCTGAAATGGTTTCCCTGTGAGTTTGTGTCTGGCGCATTGCCCTGACCCCCATGCTCCGTGTAGATGCTTGCGATGCCGCAGGACTTCTGTTCGTCTGTCTGTCCGTCTTGGGCGATGGTGGTGGGGTGTCTGAGCACGTATGGTATGTTGTCTGGATGGCTGCAGAAAGACAGTCCCAGAAGAGGCTTACCGCCCTTCTAGCCATCACTGATAAGACGTTAACAGGACCCCCCGTGAAAGGAACAGGCTTTGAGGTTTTAGGTTTTATGTCAGCACATGCAGGTTTCCATTTATGTCTGCATCTTTCTTGCGATATCGATGTGCTCGTTTTGGAAGGAGCTTTGGAGAAGGTGAAGGGTTGTTTTCTTTTTTCTTTTTTTTTTTTTTTTGAGTTGGAGCCTCACTCTGTCGCCCAGACTGGAGTGCAGTGACACACTCCTGGTCACCCCAGCCTCAACCTGCTAGGCTCCAGCGATCCTTACGCCTCAGTCTTCTGAGTAGCCAGAACTACCGGCGCTCGCTACCACGCCTGGCTAATTTTTGATTTATTGTAGAGATGAGGTCTCGCCAAGTTGCCCGGGCGGGTCTTGAACCCACGGGCTCAGGCAATCCATTCATCTTGGCCTCCTTAAGTGCTGGGATTACAGGCTGAGCCACCGAGCCCGGCCCAGAACAGCCATTTTAAAAAGACTTAGAAACTTGTATTAAGCAACTCAAGAAAAAGAGAAAACTTTTTTTTTTTGAGTTGGAGTCTCACTCTGTCGCCCAGACTGGAGTGCAGTGGCCGCTCCCGACCACTGCAGCCTCGACCTGCTGGGCTCCAGCGATCCTTCCGCCTCAGCCTTCCGAGTAGCCGGAATTACAGGCACACGCTACCACGCCCGGCTGATTTTTTGATTTATGGTAGAGATGAGGTCTCGCTGCCCAGGCGGGTCTCGAACCCACGGGCTCAGGCAATCCACTCACCTCAGCCTCCCAAAGGCGCGGGATTACAGGCTGAGCCACCGAGCCCGGCGAAAATAACTTTCTTAAGTTTCTGAAGCTGACTTGGGCTACATGTAGAAGCCACTTGCATTTAAAAGTGCACATTTTCTCCCCCCACCTTCTCCTTTCCTAGCCCGGCCTTACCTGACTGGTTTGGAAGGCCAGTTTCATCTAGCAAGACATGGACAGCGGTCCAAGGCCGGCAGGAGTGGAAAGCCTGGTGGGGTATTGCTCACCTCCCCTCCATCTGTGAATGTGAGGACATCGGATGCTTAGGGGCCAGGGCTCTGGGAAGAGGAGACTGTTACCATGATGTTTTAAAACCATTTAAAGCTATCATTTTAATTGTTGTGACTTTCCCTTCCCTCCAGATGTTGCAATTGTCTGCCCCTTCCTCTAAAAAAAAAAACAACCTGTAAATTCCAAAATATGATCTAAAATGTCAGCATGACCAGGAGACTTTGTGTCACGTCAGTGGTCACTTCTCAGAAAACGCCGACGTAGATCTTGAGTCATACTGAAACTGCAGACAGGCTTTGAACTTGGGGCGGTTGAAGGGCTATGAACTTGGGGTATAAATGCTGGAATAAACTTACGTTGCTTTGAACGGGTTTTGGTGATGATGCCAACCTATTTCCCTGTGACCTGGTTACAGAAGAAGTTAAACAACCTTTTCCCAGTTTCTGCCTCTCGTCTTTGATTGGCCACAAGGGATAGCAGTCGACCTACTGGCTCAGACCGTAAAATTAGGACCCCACGTTTGGAGGTGAGGACACTGGGGCTCCCTCCCCAAGGCACGGGGCAAGCCAGTGGGGAGCTGGGCTCAGAACCCAGGTCTGCCCGCCTCCCAGCCCTATCCTTTCCTCTGCATGTTGGTGCCTGGGAATAGTCTCCATGGGCTTTGGGATGGAGTCCTGGGGCTACTCTTGCTGACACTGGCCGGCTCAGGACAGTGAGATCCTTCTGGGAGTTTCCAGGGAGACAGCACCCGTGATGGGGGGGCCTCTCGTGTTTTGGTGGGCTGGAGCAGGAGCACGGCTGAGCACTCCTAGGTGGTCAGCTCCTCAAGAACAGTGGGCTGGGGGAGCCTTGGTCGAGGGGGGCACGGTCCAGATGGGGCCTGTGACGTGACCACGCGGGCCTCACCAAGCCATGAGGAGCCAAGTGTGACCATTCACGTCTCCCCCTAGAAAGGACATGGGAGGATGGGGACATCGGATGAGGGGCAGCGGGATCTGGGATCTGCTCAGTGAGGAAGGAAAGCGCAGAGTGAGGTGAGACTTCCACAGATGAGCCGTGGCCCACGTGGCAGGCACGCGTGGCAAATGATGGGCTGAGGGGGAAGCTTGGCCTGAGTGCTGGGGTGAGAGGGATGTGAGGCCAGGCCCCTTTTAGAGACCTGGGTTTCCGTGGCCTCCCAATAGGCTGTCTGATAAAACCATCCTTTCTAGCCGGGCTCGGTGGCTCAGCCTGTCATCCCGCGCCTTTGGGAGGCTGAGGTGAGTGGATTGCCTGAGCCCGCGGGTTCGAGACCCGCCTGGGTAGCGAGACCTCATCTCTACAATAAATCAAAAAAATCAGCTGGGCGTGGTGGCGCATGCCTGTAATTCCGGCTACTCGGAAGGCTGAGGCGGAAGGATCGCCAGAGCCCGGCAGGTTGATACTGCGGTGTGCGGTGATCGGGAGCGGCCACTGCACTCCAGCCTGGGCGCCAGAGTGAGACTCCAACTCAAAATAAATAAATAATGGGATGACAGGTGTGAGCCACCACACCCGGCACCTCTTCTCTTACAAGTGGCCCCGTCCCCAGCACCAGGGAATCAATGTCTAGGCCAACAGAGCTAAGGGTGGTGGGAAGACCTCAAGGCTGGGAGTCCGAGGACCTGGGCTTGGGTCCTGGTTCTACCCCTCACCAGCCCCTGACACCGCATGGACAGCCTCTTTGAGCCCGGGGTCCTCGTCTCTGAGGGAGAGAACGAGCCCAGCCTTCCCGCCTGTGGCCTTCCAGGAACCCCTCAACATTGCTGTGTGTTTCCATGACGGTTACCTTTCTCGTCTTAGACGCCAGAGAGGTTTTAGAGGACAGGAAGTGAGTAGGGCAACACTGCAGAAGTGATTGCCTGGCGACGCAGCGGTTGGGCCCCTGGAGATCATCATTCTACCTTATTTTACAGTTGTAGGGGACGTGTGAGGTTTTACTACATGAGCAAGTTGCGTGCAAGAGAGGTCTGGGGTTCTAGGGGCGCTCTCTTCCGTGCCCGGGTGTGGCTGTGTGCCCCGTGGCCCTCCTCCCTTCCTCCTGATGGGCGTCCAGCCTCTGTTCCCTCCTTTGTGCTGCTGTGACTCGTGTTCGGGGCCCGCTTATGAGTCAGAAGGATACCGACTTTACTTTGAATTTCCTGGACCTTAAATTATTTTTCTTTTTTTTTTGAGTTGGAGTCTCACTCTGTCACCCAGGCTGGAGGGCAGTGGCACGCCCCTGGCCACCGCAGCCTCAACCTGCTGGGCTCTGGCGATCCTTCTGCCTCAGCCTTCCAAGGAGCCAAAACTACAGGCATGCACTGCCACGCCCGGCTCATTTTTTATTTATTGTAGAGACAAGGTCTTGCCAAGTTGCCCAGGTGAGTCTCAAACCCACAGGCTCAGGCAATCCTCTCGCCTCAGCCTCCCAAAGTGCTGGGGTGACAGGCTGAGCCACCGAGCCCAGCCCCTTAAATTCTTTTAAAGTCAGAATTGGGGACAGTTTCCAGCAGGACACAGGGACCCATTGTGGCCCAGGGCAGTGATTAATTCTGCATCGGAAGCTGGGGGGAAAATGAGTCTTGGTGCACCCCTTCCTGAGGCCCACTCGCTCCCAATCTGGTGGAAAGTACACTGGCTCTTCCCTCCTGACGTCCAGCAGGGACTTCAGACCTTCTGCTCCTCCAACTGTCCGCCCCAGCAGCTCCCAGCCACTGAGGAACATTCCAGAAGCAGGGCCACACCGTGAAGCCCTTGGCAGCCCCTGTACAGAGCTGGCTCCCCAATGGCAGTAGACAGTACTGTTGATGGTAGGGAGGACACCCTGTGGTTTCCCAAGGTGACTCGCAGCCCATGGGCGACAGCTTCGGTCCCAGGGAGTGAGCATCGAAGCCAGGCGGGCAGTGCTCTTCAGCTGCCCACAGAGGACCAGGCTGTCGACCCAGGCCTGCGTCCATCACAGTGCGACATGCCCTGGGGGTGCCGGCCGACCTTCCTCCAAGAAACTGAGATGAGCGGGTCTGACTGAGAGCCGGGAAGGCCTAAGCCTTGCCCACGGTGCTGTCCAGCCACAGGGGCCGCCCCGGGAGCTGATTCGAAGTGCAGGCTCCTGGGCCCCATGAAGACCCCCTTGAACAGAATCATCCGCGTCGGAACTGAGTCCCAGCGTTGTGTGTGCACCCCAGTGTACACCAAGCACTGCTAGACTCAAAGATGCTCCAGGGAGGTGCAGATCTGAGGTCGATTCCACTAAAGGAGGGAGGAGAAGAAAAGTCAATGGTAACATTGGAAGGAAGACTCCATGTAAGAAGCATCTCCAGGCCAAGCAGAGTGGCACGTCTATAATCCCAGCACTTTGGGAGGCCGAGGTTGAAAGGACAGACCAAGAGTGGGAAGCTATTTTTCATCTTGTTCTTTATTTTTTTTTGAGTTGGAGTCTCACTCTGTTGCCCAGACTGGAGTGCAGTGGCCGCTCCCGGCCACCGCAGCCTCGACCTGCTGGGCTCCGGCGATCCTTCCGCCTCAGCCTTCCGAGTACATGGAACTACAGG